AAAGAAGAAGAGACTCAAGGAGACCGTATCATAATTTTCTGTGCTTAAAGTGATCTTGAAAGGAATTGACGGAATTACACTTCACACTACTTTCACAAGGAATTGAAGGCATGAAACCGTACAAATTGTCAGTTAGGCAGTTTCTCGCTAAGAACTGTCGTATTCACATAATTAAAGGCATGAAACTGTACAAACTGTCAGTTAGACAGTATCTTTCTAAGAACTGTCGTATCTAACGAATTGAAAGTGTGAAACTGTACAGATTGTCAAATTGGTCTTGTCAGTTATCTTTACCTAAGAACTGTCATGGTACCAGAGCGATTCACCCATCCAGGAAATAGATATCGCTGAACATCCCGCCTAGGGTCTTGACATTCTTTGTGTCCTGCAAAACTACGGAGACTCAAATGTATTCTCGGATATGTTCTCCACAGGTAAGGAATTAATGATTATTGGCACTTGGGCGATGCACCTCGCAAGGCACGATTATCGTTGAACGTCCCTCCAAAGGGCCCTGACCTTGTGTCATGCTAAACTGTGGAAATATGTCTTCATATATTTTTTTCACAGGATGGTTTTGTGAGTTATTCCTAATTAACTCTCACTGGCACTAGAATGGTACACTCAGCTGAGATTTAGAAACCATTGAACGTCTCGCCAAGGGCCAAGTTAACTTATTAACTTGAAAATTTGTATTGAGATCTTTGATCAAGGATATGCAGGGGCTATAATAAAAAATAGCCATGAGTAGTTCTCCGATACTCAACAAATCGCAGTGCGTTCCTCCGTATTCACATAGATACTGCGAGTAGTCTCCATTTGAGCCAAGGCTAGGTCCTTGAACAACTGTGGTGAGAAGGGTATTTATGACTCTATGATACACAGGGTTTTTTTATTCATGGTTACTTTTCAAGACACATATGTGATTGTTAAAGAACATTCATTCGAAGGAACTAGAAGTGAAGATTCTTTTTCAACACTCAATCTTTCAACCCCAGAAGCAAGGTGAAGTTGTATTTGAAGTTATGTGACGAATTGTATTGAAGCCTCCTTCATCAATTTGCTGCTATTTATGAACCTGCTGAAGTGATCCAAAAGAATCGGTCTCTATTTAATTATATATGAAGTATTTCAAAGCTGATAGTGCTGATTTTCAAGAGCCTTTACAAGAAGCCTTTTTACCCAATGTTCGTTCAATGTAAAACTTTAAAGGAATTCCAACTGTTCAAGATGAAGTCATTCATGTAGAAATTCATATGTTGATCTTGAAGTTGTGAAGAAATCGAAGATAAAAGCTGAAGTCAAGAACAACGAGATGATTGAAAAGAAAAGAAAGCTATAAACCCAGGGGGAGATTGTTAGGACATAATTTGTGGTTTATACTTTACTTTTGATACCTTTTAGAGTTCTCCGTCTAGGACCGAAAACACCATGTGATTTCGGTGGGCTTCATGAGGATTTCGGTTGGGTTTTGGGCTAGGCCGTTGTAATTAGGTCTATATATATATATATATATATATATATATATATATATATATATATATATATATATATATATATATCTATATATATTGCTTCAGCCGTGAGAAGGGTTGGTCATTCTAAGAAGCTGAGATCGAGTTTAGAGAGAAAGAGAGAACCGAGAGCAATTGATAATCTTATGTACTAGAATATTATCAATATAATGTGCATTGAAGATTGATAATTGTGTTCTTAATTCATAATAACTATTTTTGGGTTAATCATTAGATTGGGATTCCGCACCAACTGTAGTGATTTCGATTGATACTTAAGATCGGGTTTTACACAGTTCAATGGAAACAGTAAACGGTGTAAGCGGTAAATAATAGTTGACCGATTAGGGTTTCGATGAGAGAGTACGGTTGAGAAAGGGGAATTTCTTTTGGAAAGAGTGTGCTAGGGTTTCGATAGGATTTCTAAAACACAAAATTCAAATTTTGCAATAGGAATGAATGGTGGATGGTGGCCATCGTAAGGTAAGATTTGGGGAGTTTTTGTGGTGTTTTGGTGATAGCAATGTTCATCGAAAGTGAAGCAAGAAAGTTAGGAGACATATATTTAATCCTATGATTTTAGGGCTTCAACTTTTGTTTGATTCGATCATAATACACATCTATAATGGCAAAGAAAGAAATTAAAGGGAAACAAATAGATCGGTGTGTGGGCCATCATCTGAAGCGTTGGTGGAACCCTAACACCACCAACGCTTGTCTAGAGGTCGACAGCAGTCCAAGCAGCAGTGGTGGGTCGTTAACACAACCTTCGATGTAGGGATTTAGCAGCGTGTGGAGCCTTAAGTAACGGTCCGGTATCACCCTTTCTTCTCGATTGAGGGTGAAGAAGGTGGCGGTTTTAATGGAGGAGAGAGCTTTGCAGCGAAGGTAGGAGAGGGGAAGAGGTAGGAAGCACTGTGAGGTGGTGGTAGCAGATGAATTGGCCAGTCATGATGATTAAGAGATGATGGGAAGGGTGAAGGTAAGGGATGGGACATTTTTTTAATAATATTTTTTAATAAATAAATAATTAAAAAATGGATAAAGAAGTAAAAAGGGTAATATAGTCTTTTTAGGTGTGGCATGGACCAAACGCACAACAAAATCTCATTTTAGGGACCATCCTAGTTAAGAAAAAGAATTACAGACCAATCACGTAGATTATTGCAAACTACAAGGACTATTCTTGTAATTTACTCTAAATACTAAATAAAATTAAGAAATTAGGTGGGTCCTCGGACCCACATTAGTATATGGTAGCTTTGCCCTTAATGTCTGGGGTTGTTCGGTACAAAGTTTTATAGAGATTTTGAGAGATTTAAGCTTTTATCTTTCAAAAAGAAGTTAAAAAGAAAAACTTCGTCAGTAGGAGCTATTATCTATTTTCTTTTTAAAGAAAAAGTTGTTAATCTAAAAGTTACATCACGTAGTTTTTTGAAGCTTTTAACTTTTGGTTTTATGTAATTTCAAATCTTTAGAAACTAACAGTTATTTTTGCTGAACACATGTGTATAATTAAAGTTATATTTTCAGCTTCTATCTATTAGCTACTAGCTTTCGGTTAGTTTTGTTAAACATCTCCTATATACACAACCACCATCATGTAGCTGGCTACCGATGTATGCAATGCAAAGAATCCAAATAAAGTTGAAATTAAAATTCAAAACATACAACAATTGTTCAAATCCAAACCAACAACTATTTTCTGCATTCAACTGGTTTGTATATGTTTTTTTTTAAACTTCAAATCTAATATACTCCTAAACTACTCATTAATTTCATTTATATCAACGACGAGGCTTAAACCCTCAACTTCAAAGAGGGAGGACAACACCGAATATCATTGGGCTAAAAGCCCTTTATTAACTCTTCTATATATGTAACGGCGGCAGTTACTATATTAATACTCAAGATATAAGAGTTTTTATAGAATTATTGTGGATAATTATAGTTGAGACAGTTCCGTAAATTAGAATTAAAGATACAAGATTTTTTTATACAAGTAACATAACTATTGTTTAATAAGAAAAAGACCAATGGTCCCAATGATAATAGGTATTGTAGGCAAATATAGTAAAAGCAAAGCACGTTTGAGGGTAGTTATTGGTTGCCAATCTCCATAGTGATTCTTATAGATCATATTAAACATCATTGTTCTGCCTGTAATGGACAAAATTTGGTTTATTCATCATGAACTTAACATCTCACCAACAAAATATCACTATATACTAAATAAGTTATATCATTTTAAACATCACTTACTATCTTAAAATATTTTTATGCCACTTGTGACTTCTAGTAAAACATGATTATGGATAGAGATAAAAAAATCAATATGGTAGCGTTTGGTATATGGTACTTGATGGAACGGGACCGAAGTGGATTGAACATTGGAGTGGACCGGATAGAACTCACGAAATTATCCATATAGCGTTTCGCAAAACTAAAAGAGTATAAGTCAAGACATTCAAATTACCAAATTGTCCCTAGAGTTAACACATAATTCATGTACTTTCTAATATTTTTATAATTACCGTAAATGATATATATATATATATATATATATAATTTACATCTTCAAATTTAAGAGGTATAAGATACAAAGCTTTTTGTACAAATCAATTATGCATAAATAAATCATTAATATTTACCAAAAGTTTGAAGACATGAATTAAAGAAGGTTATTAAAAATTTTTTTTGGAGCAAAATGACAATTTTAAAATATTAAATTTAGGTATATAAAGTAATTTACATTTTTTACACTAGACACTGATATTAATTAATTTACATCAACTGTATAATCAAACAATATAAATATAAAGTCTAAACATATATATTTTATTTAAAAGTGGTAATTCTTTTTATTACATATTAACTAATAGTAAAATATATTAACTATTTCCCCATAACAAAACTATTTTCCCAAAGAATTATTTATCGTCGCCACTTTGCGTGGACACACATATATATATATATATATATATATATATATATATATATATATATATATATATATATATATATATATATAACGGTGAGATCCGTTGAGAAGTCATAATTTCCTGAGAACTCGAGAACTAAAGGCGGAACGTTAGATCAATATTAACTAATTTAGGCCATAATCGTCATCTTACCAATTTCATTTAATGTTTAATTTTTTGTGTTATTAAAAATATTAATAAAAATGTCTAAAAATTAACATAATAAATTAAACTTACGAATTTTCTTAAAAAAATAATAATTTTTTATTTTAAAAAAAAATGCAGATTTTTTACATTTTTTAGAAAACATGAATTTTTAAAAAAATAAAAAAATTTATTGTTTTTTAAAAACAGCAAATTTTTAAAAATCAGTAAACTAAAAAAAATGAATATTTATTAAAAAAACTATAATTTTTTTAACCAGAAAAATCAAGTTTTTAGGTGTATATATGCATATTTTTTCAAGTGCATATATGCATATCTCTTCTACTACAATATTCATAACTAAATCATAAAAAAACGCATTTTTATTACTAATCTATAAACATAGTAGTACAAGTATTTTATTCGATACAAAATAAAATGAAAAAAAACAAAAAAAAATGCTACAAAATTTCATAGCATTTTCATGTCTTCGTGTCAAGATTTTCATATTTTCTTCCTTTTATCATTTTCACGTCTTCAATATTTTCCACAAATTCATCCACATCTAAAAGAAAAATAAAAAAAATGAATAAATGCAAAAAAAATCACAAAAATGCATATGTATATATCATGTAAGATTAACATTTGATTATATAATGTAAGATTCACATGTGATTACATAATGCAATATTCACATGTGATTGTATCTTTTAACATTGAAATGAGAAATTCACAAGAAAATATCTTTAAAAAAATTAATGAAGAACACTCACACAAAAGGCATGTATGCATATAGACGTTATTCATATGTGATTCACTTGTAATTTACATGTGAATCACATGTAATTCATATGTGATTCACTTATGATTTACATGTGAATCATATATGTTTCATATGTGAATTACATGTGAATCACATTTAATTCATATGAATTACATGTTAATTACATGTGAATCACATGTAATTCATATTGAATTACATGTGATTTATAGGTTAAACACATGTACTTCATATGTGTTTCAATTGTGATTTACATGTGAATCACATGTAATTCATATGTGATTCATGTGTAATTTACATGTGAATCACATATGAATTATTACAAATCCACGTGACTAATCAAAATGTATAAGTGATTATAAGCATGCATCACGTTTCCTACCAACGAGGCACATCTTTTGCATGGATTCCAATGAAGAAATAAGCTATAAGTCCAAGACATGTTGCAATCTGAGTGAAGCTCCTATAAGTGCCTCACACAAAAGTTGGTGAAACCTAACTTTTGATAATAAAAGGTCAATAAAAAAACACATAAAAGAATTTTATTAACTTTCGTACCTCTATAATGTATAAAGCTGCAACGGGAGAGAAATCACCCATTGTTGTTCACACAAGAAGCCTTCCAAAAATCATACATCCAAGTCCATCTGTTGTGGCACTACAAGTCATAGTTTTGATATTATTAGGAATGCCAACACTATAAAATTATATTAAGAAGCTTAAGAGCATAAATAATATATACACCTACCTCACTGAAGCATCGATTATCACTGGTATGGAACAAATTTGGAATGACCTTTGACATCCAATCCCATCAGCAATCCATCCACTAACTACATAATTAAAGTGCTATCTTTGTATGATTCCTCACTCAAGGAGTCAAGCTCTGATATAGCTTCGTCAAATGATAGTTTCGCCAGGTGGCATGCTCTAACAACACCAACATTTAATAAAACAACATTTTAGTTTTTTCTTTTGTTTAAAAAATTATCAACAACTTTAATGAAAATCCGACATTACCTTTCAGGAGAATTCATAAGCTCATAATAGAAAACATAAAAGTTCAAAGCCAAACCCAATTAGATAGGATGAGTAGGAGATAAATTCGTCTACAACAGTAGATGCCAACTGGGGTTAAATAAGTCAATATGTTATTTATCAAAAAATCTAAAACTCATCAAGAATTTTAAAAATAAAAAGCAAATTACTTGAAAAGCCTCCAGCGACTTGACTGATCAGGTGCCACTTTTTTATCATTACCATACTTGAACTCTACAGGATACCTATAGTAGTCTCCTTTCCTGCATACCATAATAAAATCCCATAAATAAAATCATATCGAGAATGATGTTCTGGACTTTTTGTCATAATTGTTATATACATAATCTAATATACTTACATTTTGTAGTAAAAAATAGTGGATTGTCCAACAGATGAAGATGGAATGAGATGCTCATCAATCATAGTCATGATATCACCATAAACGTTGGAAAACTCTGTTTCCACCTCCTGTCTGTATTCCTTAATCCTTTTAACACTCACTTTATTGCCTTTGGATTCCTCTTTTTTCTCAATTGAAGGTAAAATCCTCCATGATGCCCTTCGTGATCCCACCAAGAATATTCTTGTATCCAACTGAGAACATATTCCTCTCCTCAATAGTCAATTCAATATGCAACTTTGCTACCTTTTTCACCGTGTCCATCATTTCTGAAACAAAATTAATAGTTAAAATCAACCAAAATTATCCTCCTAATCTTAATGTTTACCTTCCTTACCAATTGCTAAGTTTCTAAAACAGTCAACATTTGATATGTTAAGGACATCAGAGCTTTTATTTCTTTCAACAAACGACCTCAAGTTTTCTAATTTGGTACTTTTTTACTTAGATTAACATATGTATCAATAAATTTATATAAAATTTCAAAATTGAATATCGATCTGAATATATGTCTAGGAACGAAAAAGTTAAAAATTTAACTCGTGTTTAATCTCCATTTTATAACCCTAATTTACATCTTAAATTCAATAGCATCGATAATATAGGTGTCTATGTGTTGAACTTAAACAGTTGGCACAAATATACATCTACCACAGATTATATTTTAGACTTTGAATATAAATTAAGAAAATCAAAAATTAAACCTTAGGGCTCAGAGCAGTCTTCCTATCTTCCTGTCTTCATGCGGCTTCAGATTTGGTGGTAGCGTTGCGATGGTGGGGTTGAGATGGCCGATGGTTAGCACAATTTATCTTCGTGGTCGTTATCCTCCGTTGAACCGACGATGAAAGAAGGGGAGGAACCGCTCATCGACCAATGGTCAACGACCATCAAAACCGAATCAATTGTAGATCTAGATCTGAAACAGAGTGATGAAGACCTATGTATGAGTGTGTGAGAGCGAGAATGAGATCTGATGAGGAATGGTGATAAGAAGACGTGTGTATGAAGTTAATTTCTATAACCCTAAAATTCCCCTGATGCCATTTAATTTTGATGCCCCCTTCTCTTGGTTTTCCAACTTATTTACAAAAATATCATGTTTAATCATAGCCTTCAGTTTTTTTAATCTAACCCTTCACCGTTAGTTCACGGGTTCTCGGGAAACTATGAGTTCTCAAATAAAACATGTTGTTTGGTATTGTGAAAACGTTCAATCTTACATAACTATTGTGATTATCACGCATTCTTACTAATTAAATCGTCTATAAGTTTATTATAGACATCTTTTTTATAATTCTCATTCTATAAGAATGTTGTCAGAATGTTTATTGATTTGTATACCGTAAGAATGATAATGAGTAAAAAACGGTGTGTGAGAACAAAAATGAATAAGAATTAGTGAGAATGCATGAAAATGACGATAGTTGTGTAAGGTTGAACGTATTCACGTTAGCAAACAACCTATTTTCTTAGTGATTCCCATAGAATAGCATTGTCCACACGTCCACACTATATATATATTATATATATATATATATATATATATATATATATATATATATATATATAATATTATATATATATTATATAGTCTAAGTGGTGTGAGTTTGACAAATGAAGATCCACATTCTTCTTAATATTGGATGATTATTAAATGCAATTTAGTATCTTTAATGACGGTGGGATATATAATTGTTTCAATTCGTTCATGATTTAAAACATATTCGGTAATAAAATAAAATAAAATATCGACGTGGATTGCATAATAAAACACAATCACAAATTAGTGTAGGTTTGAATGTTTATAAAATAATAACTTCGATTAGATTCAAGTTTGATTTTAAGATGAAAAATATGTGTTTAAGTTGATTATTTAAGTTGATTATTTATATTTGAAGACAACTATGTAAGAATTATTTTGGTTTTGATTTGACGGTGTTTTAGTTAATAATTGTTTGTTCCACTCTCTTCCATCTTTTTAGGATTTTAGTCTCATTGGACTTGGTCCATTGTTTCACCTTGTCTATGTTCCATCCACCACTAAACAGTCCTGAAGGTTGGTACATTATTGTTTTGTCCTGTTCAGTCCCGCCTACCAAACGTTACCTAATAGAATAATTATGGGGTTCATTTGATGCTAACGTGCGAAAACCTTATTATCATTTCTTAAATGAGTTAAATTGTGAAAGGTGTTTAAATACAAGAGTATGAGTTTATGGTGTAGGTTCTTGCTTGTTTCAAAGTCACTTGTTATATTATTGCTACATCAGTTATTCTCTCTAATCTCTCTTTCATCTCTCTCAGTTCACAACCCATGTAAACCCAACTTTCACATCTTTCCAAACTCACTTAATTTTTTTATTTTAAAAGAATACAAATTAATTAATAAAACATATTAAACTAATTCATAAAATATTAAAAATATACAAAAAATTCACAAAAACATTTAAAACATACGAACATATTTTGGTAAAAGCCTTAAGCATGAAGTATAAGTAAACACGTGTAACATCCCAAAAATCATAACAAAATTTTCAATTTTAAAATCATTCCAAAATCCATAAATTATACAAAAACATAGTTTCCAAATACCATATCATGAATCTAAGTATCCGAAAATCATAAGTCAAATAAAGCCTGGGATGATGTGCACAATTACATCTTCGTCTTGCCCCTGTCCTCTGATTTACCTGAAACTATAAAATCAAACTGTAAGTCAAAACTTAGTGAGTTACCCCAAAGTAACCTACACAACATAACATATACACATATTGCATGTTGGGTCCACAATCTCCCGACTGGATTACCCTGGCCCACAGTCTCCCGAATGGATTACCCTTAGCCCAATAGTCTTCCGACTGGATTGCCCCTGGCCCACAGTCTCCCAACTGAAGTCCCCCTCTGGCCTATAGTCTCCCAAATGGATTGTCACTGGCCCACAATCTCCTGAGTGGATTGCCTCAGGTTTGTTGGCGTACAACACAAAGCAGTAATGCCTCAACCCACCCATACTATGTTGACATATGCAAGAGATAAACATACAACCAACAAGTACATGTAATCATACACATCTACCTAAATAACATATAACCATCGAATACAGGTAATCATACGGATCTCCCAGTCTAACATATAACCAACATAGCATCATCATATATAGCAGGATACATAACCTAGTAGGCCAACATTAGTGCCTTCGACTGATGAGTACAATGAGGAAACTCACATGAACTATTCAACAGAAGCCCAAGAACTACCTCAGCATCAGACCAATCCACCCAAACTTCCTAAAACCAAATTGAGACCAATCCTTAGTCAAATACTCAAATCTACCCAAGTTTAACCAATAGTCAAACTTGTCAAAAATCCAATGGTCAAAGCCAACGAGGTCAACAATCAGCTTAGTCAAAGTCAACATCACATCGTGACCATTCCTTGGTCACGTCGTGAGAATGCAACGACAAAAAAATCATGATTATGAGCACCGTCACGTCATGACACATCCTATGTCACGTCGTTACTTCTAGTCAAAAGGCCAATATTTAATACATCTTTTTCACCTAAATCCATTAAGTCCAAGTCTCCAACCTTCAGATCTAAATCAACATGAAGTATAGATGGATAAAGTTTCCAACTTTATCCATAATAATGTCTCAGGCTTTCAAGATCTAAAATTTAATAACCAAAATGACCTAAATGACCAAAATAACTTACATGCTTGAAAGGGAAGACAAAAGATCAAAACTTTCCTAGTCCCTGAGGTCCAAGAAAACATTTTAAACTGATCAAAAGGTGTTGGAGTCCATATATGAAACATACAATGTTCTTGGGACCTAGGAGAGTAATAAAGTTGCAATCTTTATTCTCAACTCTCACTCAAAACTCATTAAAATGGACCTAAACACCAAATACACTTAAATCCAAGATGAATATGCAATATAACTTGGAACTTTATAACTTAGAAAGGTCTAAAAGGTAGATGAAAGTTGAGATCTTCAATTACCAAGCTTCAAGAATCAATATTACATGAAAACATTGCTCCAAAACCACCAAAATAGATGAGAGAGGAGAAGGGAGGCTCAAATCTTGAAAATGGAGGCTAGGGTTCTCCTAAGGGGTTCTAGATATGATGGATGCTAAGAAAATACCCTAAAACATGAATCCTTACCTTTAAATACCTTGAAAACCCTAAAAATTCATGGGCTTGGGTTACACAGTTCTTACGTCGTGAGAATATATTCTTACCTCGTGAGGACGAGTTTTCACCCAATTTCACTCTAACTTCAAACAGTCATAACTTCTTCGTTTCTACTCCGTTTTGGATGATCTTTATATGAATGGAAATGTATTCACGAGCCCTACAACCCTATCTAATTACTTTTGACGTAATACATGTCGAACTAAAACGATAATCCATACAAGAGCCCGGAATATACTTTTCCCATTTTACCATTTTTCTTCCAAGCACAAATTGAAGGCTTTAATCACTTGTCCAACATTATCATCATCATATAAGGTTTAAAACCCATTCCCATGAAGCGTATGGCCTTTACATGATCCATTAACTGTCCACAATCCCGAAATAAGAGTATTTTCGAAACAGGATGTTACATAATACATAGTGTTTGAGCGGTTATGTAAGTGGCAAAGCCACCATCCTCACCCTGTTAAAGGAGAAGTCGTTGCGTGGAGGTACCGGGGTACCTCCCTAAAATTCTTTCAAGTCGCATGTCATACCATCAACCCATAGGGTAAGGGTATTCATCACTCTCAACCCACTTTTAGCATCAATGTCACATTAGTTTTTCTCTCTCCTCTCTATTCCATCTTTCTCATCACATAACACATAGAAACATATCTTTCTCATCTTTCCTAAACCACTCAATTTTTAAATTTAAAATAAAGTACCCTCACCCTTAGATTGAGTTAAGGGTGAGGGTATTCATCCCTCTCAACCCACTTTTCACATCAATGCCACATTGGTTTTTTTTTCTCCTCTCTCTTTTATCTTCCCCATCCCATAATACATAGAGATCTATCTTTCTCAGCCCTCATAACCGACTCAATTTTTAAATTTAAAATAAATACAATTTATTTAAAATCATACAAAAATTAATTAACAAAAACATACCAAACTAATTAAAAACATACAAAAATTAATTTGATACAAATATAAAAGCATGTTGTGCAAAGATAAAATGCATGGTCTTAAAATAATGGAGCGGTTTGTAGAACCTTTTGATACTATCAAGTAAGCAGTACTACAATAAGGCGGAACCGTCATGATGAAGGTACCCATCATCTATAAGTTTATTATAGACATTTTTTTTTATAATTCTCATTCTATAAGAATGTTGTCAGAATGTTTATTGATTTGTATACTATAAGAATGATAATGAGTAAAAAACGGTGTGTGAGAACAAAAATGAATAAGAATTAGTGAGAATGCGTGAAAATGACGATAGTTGTGTAAGGTTGAACGTATTCACGTTAGCAAACAACCTATTTTCTTAGTGATTCCCATAAAATAGCATTGTCCACACGTCCACACAATAGTTGTCTATATATATATATATATATATATATATATATATATATATATATATATATATATATATATATATATATATATATATCTACCATCTTATAAAGCATACATAATCAATGTCTTAAGTACAAATTTTAAAGCCTAAGGTACAAAAAATTAAGCATGTTATCTTAAAAAACAAGTAGAGCAGATCTGGACCGTTGAATCTACATTGGACGGTGAGGATTCTATCAATGGTGATCCGTGTGATTTGTTTACAACCAATCAAAATAGAGCGTTTGGGCGGCATTTTAATTTTAATATAGGGTTGAATTCTAAGAGGGCAATTCAATTTTTTTGAAATCGGATGGCGTCTCATTTCCTCTGTATCACTTTTACCTCGCCCCATTCAAGATTGTATACCTCATTCTCTCTCATTCTAAACCCTAGGTAACTGGTCAGAAGCATTGTGCCGCCTCCTACTTCCCTTAAGAGGTTACTTTGTG